CACACACACACACACACACACACACACACACACACACACACACACACCTTCCTACCTTTCCAGCCTTCTTACACTTCCCTGCATGTACTCTGAGGTCCATCCATATTGGCTTACTTGCTATCCCTCCCTATTTCATTTCCCATCTCAGTGCCTTTGTATTGGTTGTCCCCAATACCTGGAATGCTCTGCTTCCTCACCTCCTCCACATCTTGGGATCCCAGGTTTCTTTCAAGATACAGCTCAAATGCCACTTTCTACATGAAGTCTTTTTTTATGATATTCCCAGCTGCTAGTTCCCTCCCTCCCCAAACTACTTTGAATGCTTTTTGTATATATTCTACTTGTATATAGACATGTTTCTTCCTTTAAGCTTCTTGAGGGCAGGGACTGTTTGACTTCTGTCTTTATATCCCTAGCACTTAGCACTGAGTAGGCGTTACTACATCCTGAGCGATATCTGGCCATTGGACCCAGATGGCTCTCAAGGAGAAAGTGAGGCTGATGACTTTGCGCAGCCCTCCCTCACTCCAATCAAAGTCAGTTGCAAGTCATGTCATCATCTTCCTGATGTCATGGTCCTCTTCAACAAAAAGGACAAACCACAGGGCACTTAATACTTGATTGATTTATCAAGTGATTTATTTAATAATTCTTGGTATTATATATTTCTGACAGTTGCCATATATTTTGGACATTATAATTTTGTTGGTGATGTGTGATGCAAAAATTTCCCTACTATGTCATTCAATTCTAATCCTGTCTTCATTGATTTTATCCCCACTAATTACCATTTTGTAACTGGCTTCCTCCAGGTGTCTAGCTACAAACTTAGATCAAATGCTTATTTTCATTGAAAATTAAGGAAGTTAAATACATAATTAAATCCATGTGGCTCTACACATGGATTAGTGACCGTCTAGTTTGCAGTTAGTCATAATTTTAGCAGTACCTGTATTGCTAATGTGCATGTTGCATGAATGTGTAATGTGCATGTTGCAAGAGGAAGATAGTAAGCTCCTTGAGGGCAGGGCCTGTCCTCAGTGTTATCTTTTTATACACAAACTTTAGCACAGGACCTTATACACAGTAGGTGCTTAATAATTGTTTGTTGAATTGCATTGAGGCAGTGTGGTGTAGTGGAAAGAACACTGGATTTTGAGTTAGGGGACCTAGGATTGAATACTTACCTGTATGATCTTGACAAGCCACTTAATCTCTGTAGCCCTCAGTTTTCTCGTATCTAAAATAATAACATTGGACTCGATTACTTCTAAGGTTCCTTCTAGCTCTAAATTTATGATCCTCTGATCCTTTGAATGGAAGGTTAAAACATGGTGCTCAAGGGATTAAAAAAGAGGGCTATCAGGTTGGAGTGGCTTGCATATGGTGTTTGTGGCACTGACTACCTCAGGCTTTAAATGAAAGAGCAGAAAGTAGAAAAAGTAGTGGAATTACAGTACTTAAGGTCAGGAGACCTGGGTTTAAGTCTCAGCCCTGCCAATCATAAGCTGTATGACACTGAATCAAGTCACTAAACATTTCTGAGCCTCAGTTTCATCATCTGTAAATAGGGGATAACTGAACCTTCTGCTTCACAAGGTTGTTATAAAGAAAATATGTATGAACTGATAAAGTTATTATATGCGATTACATATATATTATGCACATTATACACACATACATACACACATATGACAGTGCTATAACAAAAGGCGAGAGTCAAATAGGTCTGATGTCTGATCAATGATGAGAGGAAAGAAATGAAAGAGAAAGGGAAGAAGTGGCTGGAAATTGAATTTCATCAGACAAAAGTGAACTAAAGATAAATTCAACCTCATGGGTATCACTGAGACTTAGGGTAAAACCAGTGGTTAGAATATGGTGATATAAAAACATTCCTTATTCAAAAGACACAGAAGCTAAAAGGGGGAATGAAATCTCATTCTATGTCAAGAAGGCACTCTTGTGAGGAAATCCATGAATTGAAGGGAGCAAATTAGAGATCAATAGAGAGAGAAATAGACCTGTTTTTGTGGTGGGATACAAGTAGAACGAAGATAGATGATGAGTTCTGGAAGAAGACCTCAAGTGGGGCAAGAAGTTATATTGCAGTTGTGATAGGGAACTTCAATTATTTGTATACCCGCTAATGTATTCTCTCTTCCGTTAGCAGAATAGCTGATAAATTCTTGATATTTCTATGATTATAATTTCATTCTCCCAATCTTGAGATCTCTCCCTATCATAAGTCTGCCTTTCTTTAGGTGAGAGCCTATCACTTCTCTCCTGATGTGAATTTTTAACTTAATACTCTGAGTCTTTGTGAAACATTGTTTTTCAAGAGTTATGTCTGTTCCAGAAGACAAAAATTTTTGTGGCCAAACTATATAATTACTTCCTTTACATTAGGTAGGTTGGGCTCTCAAATTCTTCCTCTTCTTCCTCATTTGTATGAACAGCCTTTATCATCTACATTTGAGACAGAAGAAAAATTTGGAAGTGGAATTAATATCCAACATTTTCCTTCTGTCCACGTTCCTTTTGGGCACAGGAAGTAGTAGAGTTAGTTAATATTTCCTTCTTTCACTTTGAGAATCATGAAATGATTGGAGCTAGCAGGAACTTGGGAAATTATCTAGTTCAGCTCTCTCTTTTCATACTTAAGAAAACTTCCCTCCTTCCTCAGGCAATACAAAAATTATTTTCTCTTAGAGCCCTACCTCTTTAGCCAATTAAAAGACCATCAAATTTTGGAAGACTGTAGAATTGTGTTGCTTTATCTTGGGTTTTCCTTTTCAAATTTTTCAGTTAATCCAAGCTGCTGTTCCTTTCATATGACCCTATGACCTTATCTATGACATTTTTTATCCTTTCAAACTGATTTTTTAAAATTTTTTATGGATTTTCTTTTAATTTCTTTGATCCTCTTAATTACTATTCTTCTAGTACTTATTTGCCTTTTTCTTGATTTGAGAATTGCCTTCATGATGAGGAAGGGGCTATTGTTATATAGCTTGCTGGTTGGTCTCCCTGCCTCAAGTCTTTCCATACTCCAGTCCATCCTCCTTTCAGCTGTTAAACTGATTTTTATCAAGTGAAGATCTGACCATGTGAACCCCCACACCCATTCAAGTAAACTTCAGTAGCTCCATAGGACCTCTAGGATCAAATATAACAACATTCTCTGGCTTTTAAAGCCTTTATAACCTGTCCCCTTCTTACCTTTCCAGTCTTCTTAGAGCTTCCTCCCCTCCTCATACTCCGTGATGCAGTAACACTGGCATCCTTTCTATTCCTTGAACAAGACACTCCATCTCCTTACTTCCAAGTGTTTTTTACTGGCTGCTTGCAATGCTTGGAATTCTTTCCATCCTCATTTCTACCTCCTGGCTTCCTTAAAATCTCAGCTAAAGTCTCACCTTCAGCATAAAGTCTTTTCCAATTCTCCTTAATCTTAGTGCCTTCCTTCTGAGATTATCTCCAGTTTATCCTGTATATATTTTGGTGTAAATAGTTGCTTGCATGTTGTCTTTCCTATTCAATCATGAGGTCCTTGAGGACAGTTTTTGCCTTTCTTTGTATCCCCAGTGCTTAGCACAGAGTCTGACACATAGTAGACACTTAACAAAATGCTTATTGACTTGACTAACAAGGTATCTTCTGTACTCTCTCCTTGCATTGTGTACTTCACCATTCCCACCTCTTCCTACTCTCCATTTTTATTTTCAAGGTGGCTTCCTCAACAGGAACTGTGAAGGGGAGCTCAAGTGGGTGTGCATTCAGCTGCTTGAACATATGCTGTTCCCACAACCAGATGTATCATCGTTATTTTTATTTAACATTTATTGAGTGCCAGGGCTTTTCCTATCCCACTACTCGACTCAGGCATTAGTTGAACCACTGAGGTCTCTGACGATGTACCATATCGTAGGCAAACAGGAGGAGGACTGGCCCCAAATAACATCAGTAACAAGAAAGGCAAATTGTACTTGTTTATTAAAATGTGGTGAAATCTGGTTGCAGCCCTAGTCTCCACTACCTTCCTAGGCCATTCTCATAACTTCTGTGACCATGGATTGATCAATTAATCAGCAAGCCCTTATTAAGCATCTATTACTATATGATGAATACTGTGTTAGGCACTAAAGATACAAATATGATGAATGAAATAATCCCTATTTGCAAGAAACTTATGTTCTTAACAGGAGAGATAACAAGTACATATATGTATATATATATGTATGTACATATACACACAGAATGAATACATACATACATACATACATACACACACAGAATAAATACTAAGTAGGTAACCACAAGATAGTATGGGAGGGAAGGGGGTAACAACGGGGTGGGGGTAGGAGGTAGGAGGATCAGGAAAGGCATTGTATAGAAGGTGGTGTTTGAGCATACCTTGAAAGAAGAGATGGATTTCATGAGGAAGAGGGAGTGCATTCTGAGGATATGGTATGGCCAATGCAAAGGCGTGAGGAAGAGGAATGGAGTTAATACTCCATATGTATGAGGAACAGAAAGGCCAGTTTAATGGGATCCCAGAGTACAGAAGGTGGAGTCATGTCCAGTGAGTCTAGAAAAATTGGCTGGGGCCAGGTTATGAAGGTCTTTAAAAGCTCAACAAAAGACTTGCTCTATTTTGGATGGTGATGAGATTTGACCTAAAGGGATCTAAAGGGAAGATAATTTAAGGCGTGTGGTTCAGTGCAAAGAACACACTTTATTTTGAGTCTGAGGACTTGGGTTTGAATCCTAGCTCTTCCTGTGACAGTTGCTCCATCCCTCTGAACCTCAGTGTCTTTATCTGTAACAAAAAAAAAAAAAAAAAAAAAAATGAGATCATCTGTACATGACCTGAAAGATCCTTTCTAGTTCCATGTCTATGACCTTTGGATATTGTCTGCTAAAGGGGGTAAGGGACAACAAATGGGGAAGCAGGTTGAAATGCCTGGTAACTGGAATAACATGCTTCTTCTAAGGCCAAGCTTACTGACTGGAGGGCTAGGAAATTAAAAGGATGTAGGTGTTGTATGTTACTTTTTTTTTTAAGAGAAGACTCACTTTCTTTTCTTATTTTATTTATTTATTTATTTATTTTTAGGTAATTGGGGTTAAGTGACTTGCCCAGGGTCACACAGCTAGTAAGTGTCAAGTGCTTGGTCAGAGGCCAGATTTGAACTCAGGTCCTCCTGACTTCAGGGCCAATGCTCTATCTACTGCGCTACCTAGCTGCCCCTGTATGTTACTTCTAAAGAGAAAACTTGCCACCATTTTGGATATGCTTTTTTTTTTAATTTCTCCAAGTCTAAACCTGATTTTTGAAACCTTGCTTTTTAAAGAATTATAGTTCCCCTAGCAAATAAAAGGTTTTTTGAGCAAGCCATAGAAGCCTTACTTCTATTTCCATAGTTCTCCAACCTTTTCATTTAGTGAGCAACAAACAGCCCTCACCTCCCCTGCTTGCACTGTCAGTCCAGTGTCTCCTCTGCATTTCTGCAGCTCTTTAAGGCTTAAATGGAGAAATGTTAACCATGAGAAGAAGCCCCAGGAAGTAGAAGGGGGCTGCAGGTCTCTTCCAGAAAACCCAGAAGTCACAGTGTTGATCTCCCCAAAGTTTGGAGCCCTACAGGTCCATCGGGACACTCTCACAGCTTCTCCGAAAGTCTTTGAGCCTCACTTTAAGAAACATGGCTTTGAATCCAGTCAGACTTCTTCCCCTCTGGAGCCTGGTGACATCTTTCTCAACATTGCAAACTTGCCCCTTCTTAAATTGCTGTTTCCTTAGTGTGAGTATTGGTCCACAGGAAGAGATGGGATAATAGGAAATAGCTCAAGTATTTACAAATAACTTGGTTGCGTGGAGATACTTTTTTTTTTTACAGAGAGTGAAAGTTAACTTTGTAAGTGGCACATTAGAATTACATAGGAACTTTTAGTAAGTTTATCAGGCACTAAGCTTTAAGTAGGAAATCATTTTGTAGTGGGGAAGCATTTAGATCATGTCTTCACAGGCAAATAAGCTAGAGATTTCCTCCTAAATGTTCTCTTCTTGTTGAAATTTAGAGCAATCTTTATATTCTCTAATGTAACAGATATGGGTCTCTTCCCAGGGAGAACGGCTCTGGACCCTGAAAGGAAGCTGCAGCTGCTTGTCTTCCAAAAAATGTTGATGTATGTAAACAAAGGAACAAACAAGATCTTCTCCTGTCTATGGTTAGGGGAAGAGTTTATGACCAAACAAGACCTAGAAAGGATCACAGAAGATAAAATGGGTAATTTTGATTACATAAAATTTTTAAAGGTTTTGTACAAACAAAACAGATACAGCTAAAATTGGAAAGGAAACAGTTAACAGGAAAAATTTTTGCAGTAGGTTTTTCTAATAAAGCCTTATTTCCAAGATATACAAGGAATTATTTCAAATTTATAAGAATAAGATCTATTCCTCAGTTGATAAATTTTCAAAGGACAGTAACAGGCACTTCTCAAAGGAAGAAATCCAGGCCATCAAAGTCCATATTAAAAAAAAAAATTTCTCCAAATCACTAGAGAAATGCAGATTAGAGAATGTAAATTAGAGAAATGCAGATTAAAGCAACATTGTGGCTCCACCCCATACCCATCAAATTGGCAAAGATAACAAAAAATGATAAATATTAGAGGGGCTGTGAGAAAAGAGACACATTAATGCGTTTTTGGTGAATTGGTAAAACCATTCTGGAAATCAATTTAGAGCTATGGTTAAATGTCACTAAAATGAGTATACTCTTTGACTTACTACTAAAACTTTACCAGGAGATCAGAGAAAGATAAAAAGGATCTAGATGTTTGAAAATATTTATAGCAATTCTTTTTATAGTGGCGAAGAGCCCTAAACTAAAAGGTTAGACATCATTTGGGGAGTGGCTGAGAAAATTTTGATATATCATTAATCAATAAACATTTACTAAGTGCCTACTTTGTCCTGGACTCCATTTTAGGGTGTTAGGCACTGGTGATACAAAAAGAGGCAAAATATACTTCCTACCCTCAAGGAATTTAAAGTCTAATGAAGGAGACAACATGCAAGCAGATATATTACAAGGCAAGCTATATACAGGATAAATAGGAAATAATTAACATAGGGAAGGCACAGGAATTAAAAGGGATTGGGGAAGGCTTCTGATAGGAGGTGGGATTTTGGTAGGGACTTACAGGAAGTCAGGGAGGGAAATAGCTGGAGTAGAAGAGAGAGTGTTCCAGGCGTGGGAACAGCCAGAGAAAATGCCCAGAGCTGAGAAATGGAATGTTTTGTCTGTGGAACAGTCAGGAGGCCAGTGTCACTAAATCAAAGAATACGTAGTGGAAAGTAAGGTATAAGGAGATTGGAAAGGTAGGAGGGGGCTAGATTATGAAAGGCTTTGAATGTCAAGCCGAGCATTTTGTGTTTGCTCCTAGAGGCAATAGGAAGCCACTGGAGTCTCCTAAATAAAGAGGTGATATGATTCGATCTGGAAAATCATTATGGTGGTTGAATGGAGGGTGTATTAGAGTGGGGAGAAACTTGAAGCAGGCCGACTCACCAGCAGGCTACTGAAATTATCCAGGCATGAGATGGTGAGGGCTTGCACTGAGTGATGATGTCAGATGAGAGAAGATGCAAAGGTAAGATTGATAGACCTTGGCATCACGTTGGATATGGGGTGCCAGGGTGAGGGGGAAAGCTGGTGAGAGAGAGTGTAGAATTCAGAAAGACTCCTAGGTTGGGAGCCTGAACAGCTGGAAGGATAGTGTTGCCCTCTTTAGTAATCTGGAAGATTTAAGGGTCAAAGGTAATTAGTTCTGTTTTGGATATAGTGAGTTTAAGATGTCTTACTGGACATCCAGTTTGAGATGTATATGAATATTCAGTTCAAGATGTATGTGAATATAATGAAATACTATTATGTCACAAGAAATTATCAAAGGGATGGTTTCAGAGAAACCTGGGAAGACTTGTATAAACTGATCCAAAGTAAAGTAGGCAGAACCAGAAGAACAATGTATACAATAATTGCAAAAGACTTGAGAATTCTGAACAGTGCAAAGTCTAACCTCACTTCTAGAGAACCAGTGATTAAATACACAACCACTCTTGACAGAGAGGTGCATAATGAAACATAAAATTTAGACCATGGAAAATGACTATACATATTTGTTAAAAAGGGTTTTTCCCCCAATGGAGGGAATAACAGGGAGAGAAACAAATACTTGTTAATTGAAAGAAATACTTGTTAATTGAAAGAAAAATTTAAATTTAAAAGAAATCATGATGTGGCTAATTCAGTAATGATCAGAGGAAGAAGAAACATGTTTCTTTTTTTTTTCTTGACTACTGAGAATTCAATTCAGTAAACATTTATTAAGTACCTACTATGCAGCTGGATAGAGCACTAGGCCTGGAGTCAGGAAGACCTGACTCAGACACTTACTAGCTGTGTGATCCTGGGCAAGTCACTTAACCTTTCTTTGCCTTAATCCACTGGAGAAGGAAATGGCAAACCACTCTAGTATCTTTACCAAGAAAACCCCATGGATAATACGGTCTGTGGGGTTACAAAGAACCAGACACAAATGAACCACAACAACATGTGCTAGGCCAGGGGTGGGGAACCTGCGGCCTTGAGGCCCCATGTCGCCCTCTAGGTCCTCAAGTGCGGCCCTTGACTGAATCCAAATCAGTTGTAATTTTTTTGCTGGTAGAAGGTCTTGCCTGGATGCTGCTGACTGATCAAGATGGTGGTTACTGAGGGTTGGGGGGGCTGTGGCAATTTCTTAAATAAGATAACAATGAAATTTGCCACATCATTGACTCTTCCTTTCACTTGAACACTTAGAAGCCATTGTAAGGTTATTAATTGGCCTCATTTCAATATTATGTCTCCAGGAATAGGGAGACCTGGAGGAGGGGAAGAGAAACAGAGGAATAGCCAGTGGAACAGTCAGAACACACACAATATTTGTCTATTAAGTTTTCTGTCTTATACGGGTGCAGTTCATAGAGCCCCAAAACCATTACAATAGTAAAATCAAAGATCTCCATAATAGATCTAATAATGAAAAAGCTTGAAATATTGAGACACTTAACAAAATGAGACATAGACACTATGTGAGCACATGCTGTTGGGAACATGGCGCGAATAGACTTGCTCAAAGCCAGGTTGCCACGAACCTTTAATTTATAACAACAACAAGAAAAAAAAAACAAAAAAAAAAACCCCCGCCGTATCTGCCAAGTACAATAAAACAAAGCACAATAAAATGGGGTATGGGGTATGACTGTATAAAGGAAGGATTTAAGTTTAGTTTATCACTCCACCCTCTGACCCTCCATAAGAGGGGAGAGGCAACTTAGGGAGTTGAGAGGGTATTAAATGTCAAAAACTGACTCAATTAGTATGATGAGGAGATTTCAGGTGATCCACTTATCCTGGTTGAGGCGATATTCCCTGAAGTCTAAACCAAGCAGAGGTGCTGATGGAAAATGCAGTTACCTGGAAAGCCCTGGAGGTTCTGAGTTTTCTATGAAGAAAGTCTTTGGAAGGAGTTTATTATTCTTCCCTCTAAGACTGATACTGAGGCAGCTCTTTAAAACCCTCAGAGAGGCAGTGTGGTGTAATGGATAGGGTGCTGGCTTCAGAACCAGGAAGACCTGGGTTTCGTATCTTGCTTTTAGACATACTGGCAAGGCACTTGATCTCTCAGTGCCATAGGCAACTCTCTAAGACCTTAAGTTGCAGGGAAGGTGCTGACCTTCATTAATAAAGAGAATTTCTTCATCAAAGA